TTTTTTTTTTCCAATATTTCTTGACACTCTTGACAAAAACTTGGTTGGTGTTGGGCTTTTTACGGCTTTATTGCTTCGCTATAAATACATGAAAAATACGCTTTACGACGTTTTATTTTATTTTATATATATTATATATATATATATATATATATATATATATATATTTATATATATATATATATATATTGTGGACTTCAAGAGAGCTTTTGACACGCTCACAATACGGCCATATGGAAAGCACTGCAGGAAATAGGAATACCAGAAAAAATAGTAAATCTCATCAAAGAAGTCTACAGTGACACAGAAAGCAAAATCCTACACAACGGCATAACATCTGACCCAATAGCTATGCTAAACGGAGTAAAGCAGGGCTGTGTTTTATCCCCATACTATTTAACATTGTACTGGACTCCGTACTAACAAAGGTAAACTCTAATAGAGGAATTTACTGGGGATTAACAACCAGACTGGAAGACCTAGATTACGCTGATGATATATGCCTCCTAGCACACACAAAACAGGACATGCAACTCCAAGTAAACAAAGTAGAAGAAGAATCAAAGAAGGTTGGTCTAGAAATAAACATCAACAAAATCAAAGAAATGCGATTTGGTACCAGAAACAACCAACCTATTATGATCAACGACTAGAAAATTGAGAGAGTAGCGGAATTTGTATATCTGGGCAGCATAATTGACTGTAATGGGGGTACAGAGCGTGATGTACATGAAAGATAAATAAGGCTCGCAACGCCTACAACATGCTTAACAACATATGGAAATCCAGGATTTACCCAACTAAAACGAAATTAAAAATCTTCAACACAAATGTAAAAGCTGTATTACTGTATGGCTGCGAAACGTGGAAGATATCAGCACCATAGTACACCAATTACAAGTTTTCATCAATAGAGCGTTACGAAAAATCCTTCGTATATTTTGGCCTAACCGAATCTCCAATGAAAATTTATGGAACCAAAGCAACCAAGAAAATGTCATAAAGCAAATAAGGCGAAGAAAATGGAGATGGCTGGGCCACACACTCCGTAGACCACCAAATGACATTGCCAGGACAGCGCTGGATTGGAATCCCAAGGCCGATGGAAAGTAGGCAGACCTAAGGAAACTTGGAGAAGGACAGTACTGGACGAAGTGAGAAAAATGGGAAAATCCTGGCTTGAAATCAAAGCACTAGCCAGAAATAAAGTTCGCTGGATATACATATATATATATATATATATTTATATATATATATATATATATATTATATATATATATATATATATATATATATACCAGTCCGGTAGGGATCTATGGAGGAGTATCACGAGCCGCAAGCCCCTATCTCTTGCCGTACTGCTCCACCATAGGCTGATCAGATCCCAGCATATTCTAGTCTAAGCGCAGATTCAGCTAGAATTTTAAACTGCTGCGTTAGACTTTTTGTTTTCTGTACACCGAGCTGGGGCTCGATCCCACATCCACTGAGTCATTCGACAGTGAAGCGAATGAGAGGCAGCCGCACAGCCCACTGAGCTATCTGACCGAATATATATATATATTATATATATATATTATATATATTATATATATATATATATATATAAACGATCCATACATGAAAAAAAAGAAGAAGAAAGATTTTTCCCACAAATTAAACGAAGAATTTAAAAAGATTTATAATTAGAAATATCTTAGTTTCGTACTGTTTTATCTCGAAATTATATCTCGAAAAAGGAACATTTGGACATTTGTTTTTATAGTAATCTATCATTATTTTTCCATGCAGAATCACTCCCTGGAATTGGTTGTATTTTTGAATGATAATTTTTATTAGCCATGTTATTATTAGTCATGTTATTATTTATAAATGTCCATATTTTATTAAGCGGTGTATTTTTATTTGATAGTATTTACAAAGTTGATCCATGATGTTTTTTTTTGTAACTTTGCATAACTTTGCATTTGGCTTGGATGTGTCTATAATTTTAGATAATTTTCAAGATTTGTGACAATATTATACTCTTTTAAATTTTTACATTTGTCGTTCCACGATGTAGGAAGATAGAATTTTGGTTAAATTGATTTTTGATTAATAGTAACGGCAATCGCCTTATAAACAATGTGTTCTGGGAAAGGCCAGATGGAACAAGGTCGGTAGGGCACCCTAGAAAAAGGTGGAAAGATACAGACATAGAAGATCTAGAGAAGATGGGAGTGCGACAATGGGAATTACTGGCACAGGACCGACAAACATGGAAGGCAATAGTAAACGCGGCAAAGACTCACGAAGAGTTGTAGCGCCATTGATGATGATGATGATGATGATTTTTGATTAATCATAGCGTATCTGCAGCTTCGCAATTTTTTTTTATTAAGTTAATAAATATTTTCAAAGATGTGCCATATGTTAAATAAATCTGGGGAAGTCATTTTTCTAAGTAAGTTTAAAATATAGGGCAGTCCGCTGAAGACTCTTTCCATCTTAAGAAATTATGAATTGTAATTGGAGAATATTTCCAGTCTATAATGATTTGGATAGGGATGTGGATTGTAGTCATTTGGAGGATTCCAGATGGTAAAGCCTGCTAAATGGGGAGATACTAATATTAAGTCTATCATTGAAGGGCGCTCGATCGGTCTGGATATTTTGGATGGTCTTTTGTCATTGAGTAAAATTAGAATATTATTGTCTAAAGTATCAGCTTGAATATTTCCCAGTGCACTATCTAGAAAAACCCATCTACAGTGATGACTATTCAAGGTTAAATTTTATTATAACTTTGCCTTTAATTTGGCCAAATCAATTTTTCCAATTTTTGCATGAGACATTTATGTTAGGAGGTTTGTAAAAATATAGTATTGATAATATTACTTGTTTTAGAAAAACACCGCAAACCTATATATTTGGATTATACTTTATCCAAATATTTACAATTTCGTTATGTTTAATAGCATTTTCACGTTGGGCATTACCGAATCAAACGTAAATATTTTGTTATCTAAATAAATCTAATTTAATCTGGCTATATGTATGATCTTTCGCAATATCATGTTTCTGATGATTCACACCACGGATTTTGATGTTTGCCCCTATTTGTCGAAAATAATATGCAAGACCAACAGAAAAGTTTGTTTTTTATACCACGCTTGGTAACCCATGAGTAATTACTGTACCAATTATTCGAAAATAATCTATTATTTCCCTTACCCTTAGCACTAATATTTATAAACCGGGTCATTTTAGGTAAAGGGCGCTCCTTATTTTCATTATCAATTTGTTCTTGGTATGGAATAGATGAAAACCCATTTTGCAAAATATAATTTACAATATCAGATTTATCAGTACTTAAAGTTGCTCCCATAGCTTGCATTTTTGATTTATCTGAATTTGTTTACCATTTAATTTTATAGAAACAAAAACTTTAACAAATATATCAAAACCCCTTTAACTATTTACGGCAACAATAACTTATTACAGTAATACTTTGAAAAATCAAAACAAATTAATACAAAACGAACAGACCGATACAATACCAGGAAAGCCTGTTAGTGCAAAACATTTCAACCCGCGCTCGCAAGGCATTTAAAATTTTGCGGTCCATCCAAATGAAGCATCGGCAGATTCAGAACTGCCGTACCTATCATTTAAATGCGTACAAAGAGAAATATATATTTAAAATCCACAAAGAAAACAATTCCTGTAGCTGGCTGTATACACGTATCACAAAAAAAGAGGTTAGTCTTCGTAAGTGGGTATATTTATTTAAAAAACCCTTAAAAGGGCTACATCAAAAAAACAAAAGTTTTTGGACTAAACAGTCCATCATCAGGTTTAAAATCGCCTAAAATAAGTATAAACCATTTAGTTAAAACAAACGTGGTTATGAAATTTTGACTATGGTTAAAAACAAGTAAGCTAACCTAGTAAGTATAGCCATTTTTGCTTTTTAACCATAGTCAAAATTTCATAACCACGTTTGTTTTAACTAAATGGTTTATACTTATTTTAGGCGATTTTAAACCTGATGATGGACTGTTTAGTCCGAAAACGTTTGTTTTTTTGATGTAGCCCTTTTTTAAGGGTTTTTAAATAAATATACCCACTTACGAAGACTAACCTCTTTTTTTTTTAATATATATTTGGTTACTAATCGACTAATATTCCGTTAATTTTTACATATAAATCGTCAGCTTGGTGTCGGATTGCCGATACGGGTCTATCAAGAACTCACACAGTCGAATGGATGACTCGGATATCGGATCAATAATTTAAAAAGTTGATGCGCATTGATCGCTTAACGCTCGGTTGGGTCAAATTCTTTTAAAACCCATAAATAAAATGTTGTCTGTATAATCTCACAGATCTTTTTTTATTTCACAGAAACAAATGACCTCAACTTATTAGCTGCGATAATTAATTATTGAAATACTGATTGAATTAACTATTACAAAAAAATCTATATTTATAAATGACCATTTTTTTTATATTATATTGATGTTGACAAGCTGGGCATTGTTTTATTAGAGACGTATGATCGTTTGTATTACAGTGAAGAGAATATTAAAACTAGAGGTAATGGATTTTGGGAACAGCTATGACCTTGAACATTTCACATAAACTTGTGTACTAAATAGACATAATGCATAGCTCTTGTCAAAGTCCAATACATTAATAATATAATTACATATCTTTGATTCTAAAATATTGTAAAAGTCTTTAAAGAGTCTGAGTAAGAGAAGAGATTTAGTTATATTCTTTGTGGCATTTTCAAGCTCATAGCTTTTCCCAAAATCCAATAACTCTACATCGAAAATTGTCTTCGTGATTGTTGTCACAATTTTTGCATAAGTTGGAAATGGACTTACACTGCCTATTTAAACTTGCTTTAACTGCCTATGTATTCTTATAATAAATGTTATTATGTCGACTTATACGAATGTATTTTTCAATAAACTTAACCATTTTGTGTATTTTTTTAATGTACCGTCTTTTAGATACAATTAGGGTGTCCGAACATGAAAAGCTAATTAACTCATCCTCAGTTTGGGGAATTCTCAGAGGTCTAGAATCATTTTCCCAAATGGTATATATAGGCGATAAGGGATTGTCGGTAAGTTATTTTGTTTTAAGTATTTAATTCAATCGCAATTATTTTTTAATAAAATATGTCTTTAATAGAAAAGTTTAATAAAATCATTTATAAATATTACTCATGTAAAACCTCTACGAATTACAAATTTTTTTTCGAACTTTATCAATTTTACTTATTTGGATATTATATTGTAGTTAAAACAAGTTTGAACAAAAAAAAACGAATTAAATATTAATATTAAGAGTCAATTTGTATATTTTTTAAATGTCACGCAAAATCCTTAAACCGCGTCTTATATTTCTTTGACTAGAATTGGGAGCCGCATCACCATTTTTCACAAATTTTATATTCTCAAAAGTTAACTATTAAGCAACATTGACTATTAAAGAGCTCTTTTATGAGACGCTAAATCAAAGTAGTCAAAAAAAAATTATTAAGAGAGGATGTAAAATTAAACTTTCGATTTATGAATAAATCCACAAATTAGGATAAAATAACAAAAGCAGATACAATAATGTACAACATACATAACAATAGGATACAATACCGATATAATAATATACAAAGCCTGGTTTAGTTGGGTGTCAACACGCTTGGTGTGCGGTCTTTTGAGCCACACCGGTGCACAGTACTCCCATTTGGTGCTGCATAACTTGCTGCAGAATATTAATTAGATTAGGGTTCTAAGTTTTCTAGTCCTTTTTGGACTAGAAAATCTGTCTTTAAGTGGATTTTTAATTGTTAATAGTTGACCAGTCTGTTGTTTAAATAAAAGCACGACACTTCCTTCTTGGCGGCTTTGGACTGCAATCTCCGATAGCGAAATTATCTTTAAAGGGTAACCAGGTCGTTTTTTAATATTTGATCAGTAGTTTTCAGTTCTTTATGGTTCGTAGCAAGCGCCCAATCGTCTGCATATCCGAAATTTTTTGATGTGGTTTTGGACATGTCTGCTATATAACGGCTCAAGATTAGGGGGCCAGTACCGATCTTTGCGGGTGGCCATTTGCCAGTTTCATTCATGATATACATATAGATACACCTCTTACTTATTTTGATTATTTCGCACTATTAAAAGACAAATATAAGGATTTGAACAGTCAAGTGTCATACACGAAATATATCACCGTTACTATAAATAATTAAAATTTAATGAAACTAAAAATATTCAAGAATAAGATTTCGAATAAAAAATTGAGATATTTTCTACCAACATGTTTTGTTCGTATTGGTAGAATATTATTGTTATTGTAAAATTTATTATTACATAATACCAATTGTAAAAACTACGAGTTGATTTTTATTTCAATATACAATAAAAACTTATTTTCTCCCATTTACATTGCCAATAAATTTAAACATACAACCTTTAAGTTTTTTTTAAATTATTAATTCAATCAAACTCAAGATTTTCAGTAGTTATTAAAATTAAAAAATGTACATCTCACAATAATCGCTCATTATGTTCTAAATATCATATTGTATTGATGTCTTCTTCTTCTTGGAGTGCTTCTCCTATCGGAGATTGGATATCATTATGGCGATTCTAATTTTATTTATTGCTCATTTGAATAATTCGTTAGTAATACAGCCAAACCACTCGCTTAAATTTCTCATCCAGGACATTCTTCTACGGCCTGGATTTCTGCGTCGTTGGATTTTTTCTTGCATTATATTTTGTAGGAATGTGTACTTTTGTCCTCTCCTCAGGTGGCCTAAGTATTCAAGTTTTCTCTTTTTTTGTATTCAAGATAACTTCTGGACCGTTATTTATTCTGCGTATTACCTCTTCATTTGTAATTTTATCCACCCAACTTATTTTTAGTATACGGCAGAAGCAGCACATCTCAAAACTTTCAAGATTTTTAACATTCCCTGTTTAAGAGTCCATGCCTCAAGACCGTAAAGAAAAGTACTGAATACCTAGCACTTTAACATTCTAGTTCGTAGATGAATACTAATATACGATTACAAAATAATTTTTACATTTTTGTAAAGGTAGACCTCACAATTTCAATGCGTCTTTTTATCTCGTGATTTTTGTCACCTGTTTCATTGATGGGGATTCCCAAGTATTTGTATTCGTTTACTTTTTCGAGTTGGGTACCGTTTATTGCGATACTAGTGTCATGTATTGGATTCTTACTGAAGGTCATTATTTGGTTTTTTTTTGACGTTCATCCTTATGCCGTAGTTATTACATATATCATTTATCTTTGAATTAGATGTTGTAGATCGTCCGCTGTTCTTGCCATTATCACAGTATCATCAGCATATCGAATGTTATTGATAACTTCTCCACTGACTACTAGCTTCTTGGCATATTTGTTACATTGTTACAATGACAGTGACAATATACAATCCTGTCGTCTCCTCTACGTATTTATATTTCGTCCGATAAATGGTCTTCTATTTTTATATTAGCTGATTCCAGTACAGATTTAATATTATTTGTATGTCTCTGGTGTCGATGTTCTTATCTTCCAGGATTTCTTTGTGTTTATTGTGGCGTACTTTGTCAAATGACTTTTCAAAGTCTATAAAGCAGGCGTGTATTTCTTGGTTAACATCTATACATCTCTGTGTTAGGACGTTTAAGGCAAAGAGAGCTTCTCTTGTACCTAATCCTTAATCCCTCTGTGTATAGTTAATATCGATATATAACTTTTGATAGATTCGGTTGTGGATGACTCTAAGAAATATTTTAGGCAGATGACTCATCAAGGAGATTGTTTGATTATCTGAACATTGCATTGCCTTAGTTTTCTTTGGTATGGTGACATACCTAGACAACAACCATTCTTAAGGTATTATACCAGTACTGTATATTGTATTGAATAGATATAATATTATGGTCACGGATTTATCATTTAAAAGCTTTAACAGTTTTGTAGGAATTTCATCAGATCCATTTGCTTTTCCATTTTTAGCGTTTCTTATTGCGTATTCTACTTCTTCTTTTAATATGTCTAGGCCAGTTGCATTGATTATCTGAGTTAAGTTGTTTCTATCGTCTTCAAATAATTCATTCAGGTATTCTGTCCATCTTTTTATTTTATTCTCTAGATCTACAATAAGATTTCCGTTTTTGTCTAAGTTTACCTATTTAGCATTTCTTTATGCTTACTGTTATCTCTTTTACTTTTTTGTGCATATTGCACGCATCGTAATTTTCTCATAGGTTTCCATTTCTTTGGCTCTTTGGCTTCTTTTATTCTCTTTTTTATGTGTTTATTTATTTTGTTTGAATTTGTCTAGATAAATCTTCATCTTTCTTTTTTGTTCCATCAAGTCTAGTATATCTTGTGTCATCCACCACTTATTCTTTGTTGTTGTCTTTGTAAGATATTTGTTTCCTGATCTTTGTATAGCTGTATTTATGTACTTTAATTTTTAGTTAACGTTATTTGTATCGTTAATTTGTTGCTGCACTGAACGTAGGTTTACATTTATTTCTTCTTCTGTTTCTTGTCGCATATTTTTTTTCTTAGTTTATTTAAATCTAGTGCCTTTCTGTGTGGTCTTCTAATCTTTTTTGGTCTCGCCTCTATCACAGTAACTACTGGGTTATGAACTGAGCCTATGTCAGCTCCCGGGTACGTTTTAGTATATTTAATAGCATTACAATACCTCCTTGCTATCATAATGTAGTCTATTTGATTTCTCTTTATTTTGCTTTGGTATGTTGTGGAGATGTCCATGTATATAACCGTCGAAGAGGTAATTTAAAAAAGTTTTTTGTTATTACGAAGTCTTCGCTTTGGCAAAATTGAATCAATCGATCTCCTCTGTCATTTCTGTTTCCAAGTCCATAGTTTCCTACTTATTCTCCTACCTTACCTTGACCCACCTTGGCATTAATATCGCCCATTATTATAATAATGTGTTGCTTTTGTTTATTGTTTTTGTTGTTAATTGTTTTCAGAATTTCTTCTAAATCGTTGTAAAATTGTACTATTTCATTATCATCTTTATCTGCTGTTGGTGCATAGACTTGAATAAGAGTTATTAAGTTATGTCTCTCTTTAATTTGTATTATAATTAAGCGCTCTGAATAAGAAGAAGAGGTAATCAAAGAATTTTCCATTTCTTTGAAATGATGATTCCAACTCCGTAACGATGGCTGTTGTTGTCGATTCCGGAGTAATAAAATACGCCATCATTTCGTGTTGAACATTTTCCAGATCCTAGCCATTGTGTTTCGTTGATTCCTAAAACATCAATGTTTAGTCTCTTCATTTCTTGTTCAACATTATCCAGTTTTCCTGCAAAGAACAAACTTTTAACATTCCACGTTGCAACTCTTAAAGTTGTTGGTTTCTGCGCTTTTGTACAAGGATTTCGCATGTTTACGACCAAGTGAGCCTTGTGTTCTTCTCACTCTGCCGGATCTTGGTATCCTATTCCCATGATCAGTAGGGTTTCCAGTATTTTTGGTGTACACCATAATGACTTACCTAGGAGTACTCTATGAGTCTTTAATGCAGTGGTTCCCCGTTGCCTTTTGCATCCTTTTGCCGTTGACCATCCATTGCCATTGGTTCATCTTCTTGGTTCATCGCCTTCGAGACCGATTTCTCGATCTCAGACCAAAAGAGTGCCCTTCCACATACTAGCTCATCAGCCCGAAGGCGTTGGCCAGTACTTGGTGGGATCGCTTATACTCCCCATCATTCGGTAAATTAACTGTTGGTCCACGGGAGGTATTTTATGGGAGTGTCGAAATTGAAAATGATAAACTCTTATAACTTAAAAGAATCCATAATGATGTTTAAAAAAATTGGGAAGCAATAAATTTCTTATTTATAACGTCATTTTACATTTTTTTTTCACTCGCCTATAATAGGTTCTTTATACTGTTGTCACTATGATTTAAATGCAAAAAGTAATCACATATAAAATCATACTGGTATGTCTGCATATTTCTCTGGATTTTGCCAATAACCTGGTTATTTGTTACGAATACTTCAACGAGTAGAACTTTTCATAAATTTATCAATGCAAATTATTTCTAGTGTGAAATAAATAAGTAAGCAATCAAAAAATTAATTGTTAAAACTTTGGAACGCTCTAGTGAACAATTTTTTTTTTGACATTATATTTGAAAAATGTCTATTTAAAAAAAATAATTAAATAATTAAATTTATTTTTTAGCTGAGAATTAACAGAACTTTTGTAGAAGACATTCCTAGGTTCTCTCATCGTGGACTTCTTTTAGATACATCACGGCACTTCCTCCCACTGGAAAGTATTTTACTTACAATTACCGCAATGTCATACAATAAAATGAATGTATTTCATTGGCACATAGTAGACGATCACAGCTTTCCTTACAGTAGTAAAAAATTTCCAGAACTAAGGTTGGTATATTGTATATATATATATTATATATATATATATATTATATATATATATATATATATATATATATATATATTGGATTTGAAACAGTTCTCCTGAAAATCAAGACGAAGCAGAACTAATTGACTTGACTATGGCAAGTGTGACTTGCCGAAACGTCGTCAAAACAATGGTTTTTCTAAAACCAAATTACTTAACGCGGAGTCAAACCGGAAAACAACTGAAATCATATATATATATATATATATATATATATATTATATATATATATATATATATATATACATATATATATATATATATATATATATATATATATATATATATTTATATATATATATATATATATATATATATATATATATATATATAGATTATATAAAGTAACGTCCATCGTCCAACGACTGAACTACGCGGAAGCGCATCGACCATATATTTATTGATACATTCGAGTAACATTATTAGAGCTACAGAACATGACTCACTAAAATTAGGTCACTAAATATAGGGTACCAAAATCTACAAAAAATAAAGATGTCAGATATGAGTTTACAGATCTTCTTCTTCTTTGAGTGCCTCTCGTATCGAAGATTGGATATCATTATGGCGATTCTAATTTTATTAACTGCTGTTTTGAATAATTCGTTAGTGGTACAGCCAAACCACTCTTCTGAGTCCTTGGATTTTTCCTTGCATTATATTTTGTAGGAACGTGTACTTTGTCCTCTCGTCAGATGGTCTAAGTATTTAAGTTTTCTCTTTTTATATTCGTAATAACTTCTGGATCGTTATTTATTCTGCGTATTACCTCTTCGTTTGTAATTTTATCCACCCAACTTATTTTTAATATACGGCGGTAGCATCACATTTCAAAGCTTTTAAGATGTTTAATATTCCTCTGTTTAAGAGTCCAAGCCTCAACACCGTAAAGCAAAGTACTGAATACATAGCATTTTAACATTCCAGTTCATAGATGAATACTAATATCACGATTACATAATAATTTTTTTATTTTTATAAAGGTAGACCTGGCAATTTCAATACGTCTTTTTATCTCGTGATTTCGGTCAACAGATGATGTAGAAATACTCGTATTTACAGCAGAAAATATCCGAAGAAGTATATCAATATGGAATAAATCTTTAAACAAATCAAGCATGAACATAAACAAGTGGAAGTCAAAAGTGGTGGTCATAAGCACCGGTGTAAATTGAACTGGTAAAAACGTTTAAATAATTTTAATAGTGACATATAAAGGTAAAAATCAAAGGTACTGGCAAAGAAAAAGTAGGATTAGTAAAAACAGAGATAAATAGAATAAATTATACCAGTCAACTGAAAGACCATCAATAAAAAAGAAATAACCAAACAAACTAGAATAAATATTTTTAAGCCTATACATAGACACATTCATACATATGAGTTTGAGTCTTGGGTAACAAGCGATCAACAACACAATAAGGTACAGGCGGCAGAGATGAGATATTTACGAAGAATACAGAAAGCAACTAGAAGAGATCAGGTAAGATACAATGTTCTATAAGAGATGAATTAAAAATAGAGTCGATAGCAAACTATGTTGAAAAAAAGGCTGTAGGGTTGGTGTGGTAAACAGCAGCAACTAAGAAATGAAACACTGGTCAAAAATATATGGAACAGTAAAACACAGGGAAGACTATAAGGACTATGATGATAGACACTGTAAGATTATATAGCAAAATAACAAAAAAGGAGTAACAAGGAGAGAAGCAAAGATCATGGCACAAGATAGGAAAGATTTGTGTAAACTTGAAATAACAGTACATTTTATTCCTATACCCCATGAGTAAAAGAGAATCAAATTATATATATATATATATATATATATATATATATTATATATATATATATATATATATATATATATATATTGGAATAATAATAGATATACAAGAAATTAGCATAGTAATATTATGATGTTTAATTAATAAACTTACTTAAATAGTGGTTAAAGAAATAATTATAAGTTATATACTAGCGAATATTATTCAAAAATTAATTATATGAGGGTATTTTTGAAAATTTAGCATAGGATTAAATTTTAAAAGTTTTTTATTTTATTCTATTCTATAAATAAATATATTTAAGTGAGCCTTGTGCATAGGCAACCAAACATACACTGTGTTATTCGACATTTAGATGTGAAGTGAGGTTATTTATTATTTGGGATTTTAATTTAAATATAATTATGGATGTAAAATAGTAGTATATTAGTGTAAGATATTTAGTTTATATATATGAATATATATATATAATATATATAATATATATATATATATATATATATATTTATATATATATAATAGTGAATTCTGATCTGAAAAGCCTAATGTCCATAAGTTTCTCATTAGAATTTTCTGGAAAACGTCAATACACAAGACATTTAATTCTATTTGCATAGTAAATGATTCCAGAACTTTCATCTATGGATGAGATGAAAAGTTTAGAACACGATTTCTTTCCCGATGATTCTGGAACCATGAAAAGGTCTATAAACGATGTAATTTGAAGCAAGAGGGGATTATTAAGTAAGTTACAGTTGATTCGTGAAGTTAGTAAAGTTAGAAGATCATTAAGTTACAGGAAGTCATTAAGTTGCAGTCAATTATTCAGTTACAGTCAATTATTAAGTGAGTTATTTAGAATAATTCAAGAATTAAGTTACATTCAGTCAGTCAGAAAGTAAGTTACAGTTACTAAGTCAGTTACAGTCAATTATTAAGATAGCAGAAGGCATTCATTTAGTAAGAAGAAGTCAGTCAGTCAGTTACAATTTATTAAGTGAGAAGAATTCATGAAGTGATTAAGTTAAATTAAGTTAGAAAAAAGGATTAAGTGAGAAGAAGTCAGTCAGTCAGATACAATTAAGTTATTAAATTAGATTTATCAAGAAAGTTAGTTCAAGACAGTTATAATTAAATTAAATAAGAAGAAAGGATTAACTTAGAAGAATTCATTAAGTCAGATACAGTTGGAGAATAAATTAATTCAATATAGATAATTCAATACAGGAGTATAGTATATTATATGGAAATTACAAGAATTTTAAATTATAACATCTATATGCAATTTCACAAATACAAGGATAACCGAGGCTGATTAAGAAGATATGTAGTGGTGATTATAACTTTGATTTTGGAATACTTTAGTTTAGTGATAGATAGAAAGGTACCAAATTTTGTTAATATAATTTAATAATTGTAAGAATTTCAAATTTTAGATAGGTTGTTTTAAATTTATATTGTTTATATTATATATATGTATATATATATATATATATATATATATATATAGGTATATATATATATATATATAGGTATATATATATATATATATATATATATATATATATATATAGGGATAATGAATCACTACAGAAAAACAAAAGAAGATGAAATCAGTAGAAGAAATAAGTTGGGCTGGGCAGCATATGGTAAATTAAAATATATTCTAAACATAAGAATTTCTCTAAAGTTAAAAACAAAGCACAACCTTGAATGTATCCTACCAATCTCCACATAAGGTCTGGAACATAGTTGTTGGAACAGAAGGCATCAACTAAACTATAAGTACACCAAAGATTTATAGAAATAAAACCTTTTAGGAATAACTTTAAAGCATAGAAACTAACATATGGATAAGGCAACGGATAACATTCGAAAGCGTACCTATGCCTTAAAAAGTAACTAGTCCGGACATAACTATATTCAAACTGGGAAAGCATTTTCGAACATATATGCAGAGCGTTTGGTTAAAACAGGGTGCCAGTCGTGAACTGAGCTCTACATGTATATGCACCCCGTTCGATTTTTATCGGTAAAAACGAAATTTCAAAGCAAAAAACCAATACAGGTAATTCGCGAAAGCTACAGCAACTGAATATTTTGGGAGTAAGCATCAAATGATCCATACTCTAATTATACAGATGCGAGATCATTTTGTCGGATACTATTGGGTAAGTACCAATTGGTACATACCTTAATATGACCTATATGTAAGTATTTATATGGAACATTTTTCAAGTAAACAGTACATAAAAAGAGTATATTAGAAATATAAAACCCCTGAATCATTCCCTTACTCACCGGCGACATTGTACCATTTGTACTGCAAAAAGAAACAAAATAAAATTAGAAGAGAAAGACGATACTAGATTTAATTTAGGTTATTAAAATTAATTTTACTCTATGTGCATTTAATATGTGTCATGCAAAAGATTAAAATAAAGGTAAACAATGCTTTTTTAATATGCGTTATCATAAATCCCGCAGAGAAAATACCTTTAACTCATTACAAGTATTCAACTTTGGTAAACATTTTTTCGTAAAATTTCTTAAAGGTTTAACATAAAACTAGGTATATAGAAAAGTAAATGTGTAAGAATATGCATGTTATAAATCTTGATAGATGCTTTAATATAAAAAATATTTTGCGACAAATTTATTGTATACATTTAAATGAATAAAAATTTACCAATTCGCCTGAAGGATTATTGTCGAATCTGGAACACACCTTCAATCCATAGAACTTCATACACAGGAAAATCATTTTATCTTCGTATTCAATAAATATCACACATCCCCGAAATGTATATTCTTAGATTAATTTAAAAGCAATAAAATAAATAATTAATAATTATTGTATAATAAAAGAAGTACTAAATGACTACAAAAAAACGTACATGGTTAAATCTTTTCTAACTTATGAAATATTTTTAACATTTTTAAAACTGTTAATATTGGAGAAATACTCATATTCTAAATATAAAAACGACAAAAACTTTCCAGCAAACCGTTGTTTACTACTAAAATGACCAAACACCGACTATGTTTAAAATTACACTGAAGAATAAAAATTATGTGATACTGGCTGATGATTTCATGTGATAAAAAGTATTTTACTCATAGCTAATATGTATAAGTAGTGTACCATTAGTTTTTATATTAGATTTGTCGACCTG